CAATTAAGGCTTAGGGGACCCTTAGCCCTAAACCCTAAACCCTAAACCCTAAACCCTAAACCCTAAACCCTAAACCCGAAACCCGAAACCCGAAACCGCAACTAGCATATTCCACTAAGGGTACCCCTCTTGGTGGTTGGACCAGACCAGACAAACAGCGTGCCCTGCAACCCCAAGCCACAGCCAAAAAGACCCAAACCCAAACTTTCAAGGGAGTCAAACGTGGACCCCTCATGTACCCCTAAGAGGTTTCCTTACTTAGATTTCGAATAATGGCCCTCACGTCAGGGTTCAGTGGTTCAGTCATTCTTCCACGTTGCAAGGGCCCAAAAGTTCAGGGTTTAGGGAAAGAAGCACCGGGGTGGAGAGGGGCGCCTAACCTACTGTTGCAGCTTCTGAGAGGGAAGGACCAGCTTTAGAGCTTGAGGATTGCAGGGGCAGTTGGTAAAACACCTGAGATCTGAAGTAGGCCGCGTCTTGTTTCGGGCGTCGGGTTTACGAACCCGACACCTCATCACTAACCCTGGGGCTTGAGAGCCTGCGGGAGTGGGTGGGGTGCCATGACAGGAACGAACATGAAGGAAACAACTAGCGCAGCACAAAGGTTCACGTAGCTGAGTAGGCATTTGAGATTGCCGTGAAACTCCATCGGTGTTTTCATGGCACATTTTCCAGTCGCATGCTCACTTGGAGCGCACGTGTGCACCCAAAGACCCCTTGATTAGGTGGATCATAATATGGATCCTAATATCATTGAATCTACATTCCTTAGCTAAAGGGTCTTAGGCTCTCTGGAAGTTGCACAACTACGACACAAGGTACCCCCTCCATGACAAGCATGTGGGGTTGAATTTTGTTGCGCACGCCGACTTCGCCTGGTAAACGTAACCCTGTCCTAAAAGCTGTGTTAAGATGCACCCAAATTTAGAACTACCCTGTCGATCGACATGATGCTGCTAACTTGGGCTTCGCTCTAGAATCAGGTGCCCAGACACCATACTGAATAGGCCCTGGGGGCACCAAACTCCACAACGATACTGCAACTGGACATTCTTGGCAGTCTAAACCCTAGACCATAACCCCGAAACCGTAAACCCATACTTTAGGGTCTAGCGCACCAAAACCCTAAACCCGCCGCCCGATTCCAGATTCATGTGCCGTGCAGCCAAACCCAAAAGCCTACCTGAGCAGGTCTCTAAATTAGGGTGTCGGGTTTAGGGTTTTGGGCTTGGGGTTTCGGCTGTGGGGGGCGCTGTTTAAGGGTGCTGTACTATACATAGGACCCCAAAAGGGGGCGCTAATTCCAAAAGTACCCAACGTACATGGCCGGCTCTCAAGAAGCGGTCCAGCTCATCTGGTCCCAGCGCCTGTGTCGTTCAGGGTCCAGGGTTCCGGGTTCCGGGTTATAGGGTTATAGGGTTATAGGGTTGAGGGTTTAGGCTGTGGGGTTCAGGGTTCTAGGGTTACGCTTGATATGGCCTGGTGGAGGTGGTCCTTTTGATGATTTCGGGCTGAGGGTCTAGGGTCTTGGACGCGCATCATGAAGAGGCGCATGGAATCTCAAGACAAGGACCCCCCCTCCCTCTGATTCTCCGTTCACCCTCCTAATTCGTAGTTGCAAAATCTAGGCCGATGTGACTGCCCGAACACGCCCCAAACCAAAGGCATCCTACTGCGCCCTGTTTTTGTGCATCAGTTCGAAACCCCATGCCTAAACCCATAAACCCCTAAACCCCACAACCCCTATCTCAAAAACCCTGCAAACCCTAAACCCCCCAAACCCCTACACCCTTTCTCCCCTAAGCCCCTAAACCGTTAAACCCCTATAAACCCTACCCCCCTAAACGCCTAAATCCTCAAACCATCAAACCCTTCAGCCCTGTTTCTTAGGGGGCAGGGTGAGCTTGCGCTGAGGCAGATGTCTCCCCCTGGTAGTTAAGCATTAGGGGTACCTTCTTAGGGTCCTTACTATGAAGGAATCCTACGATTCAAGGTCCACATTGGGGGTTCCTTATTTCTTTTCGTAAACCCACTACGTAATGTTTTAAGGTTTGGGGGGGGGATTAAACTTAAACCCTACACCAAAACCCTAAAACCCTGAACCCTAAACCGTCCCTTTTTTGATCTCCGCTTTCTAAGGGTGCCGCGCTCTATGGGGGAACCGAAGAGGAGTCCTAGTAGAGAACTACCCAATAGGTTGTGGGTTTCTGGTTTCGGGTTTCGGGTTTAGGGGTTTAGGAGGGGGGGGGGGTCCTCAAATTCGGGTACGATGGGGTCCTTAAACATGGACTGGGCTTTGGGATTTTGAGGGCCCCCCCCCCCCCATTGTACAGTATTCCCCCTTAAATCCAAACCCTAAACCCTTTAGAGGGATACTTGGGGAATCGAAGGTCCAAAGCTCAGATAGGGTTTTAGGAATTTAGAGCTTGAAGTTTAGGTATCCTGAAACCCTAAACCCTAAACCCTAAACCCTAAACCCTAAACCCTAAACCCTAAACCCCAAGCTTCGTGCGTGTGGCGCCTTGCAAGTCCTTCCACAACGCACGCAGCCGCGCGCGCGGGCCCATCAGCAGGCCCTCGGAGAGCACCTGCCCGGACAGGGGTTAGGGGTTTAGGGTTTAGGGTTTAGGGTTTAGGGTTTAGGGTTTAGGGTTTAGGGTTTAGGGTTTAGGGTTTAGGGTTTAGGGTTTAGGGTTTAGGGTTTAGGGTTCAGGGTTCCGGGGTTAGGGTTTAGGGTTTAGGGTTTAGGGTTCAGGGTCTGGGGTCTGGGCTTTGGGGTTTGGGTATCTGAAGCTCCCGGAGTTGGTCCCTGGAAGTTCTTCCCCCGTACCTAACACCCTGACACCCTAAACCCCCTTTCCTGGCTGGTTCTTAGTAGGGATGAGAGAATGAGGTGCCCTATTTCATCCCTTAAAGGGTACTTATATATAGGGACCAAAATTCCCTGATTCCCTACTGAGAACCAGGGTCCTTTTCGTAAGGATCCTCCGCGTAAGGGGCGCTAGTCACAGTGGCTTATCCCTCTAGAGGACTTTTGAAGCAGGCCGCCACACACAGGGTTGGACATTTTGAGGTCTGTAGGGATTAGGGTTTAGGGTTCTGGGTGTATCTCCAGTTCATCCGCACCTAACCAGCCCGCGCCGTCTCGAAAGGACCCTCCGAAAAACAACTGAAGGCAGATGTTGGGTCCCCTGTTGGGTTCAGGGTTTAGGGTTTAGGGTTTAGGGTTTAGGGTTCAGGTACCCACAAAGGACCCATATTTAGAGACCTGCACGCATTCACGGGCAAGGACGCCTGGACTCTTTGACTGAGAAGCCAACTTGCACGAAGCATTTGGGAACTACGAAAATAGGGGTACCACTTTGAAAAATTGTGAGTTTAGGGTTTAGGGTTTAGGGTTTAGGGTTTCGGGTTTAGGGTATGTACTCAGAAGCCTCAAGCCCTAAACTTGCAAACTTGCAACTCACTCTCCCGAACCCTACGTAACACCCCCCGCAGCCCCGGCCCCCCCAATCTACGCCTCGACTTCTTCTTCTCTAAGGTTGCGGAAGTCGTGCACATTGCGGATCTCCTGCGTCTCTAGACACTACACCTTAGTCTCTAGCCCTGTAAACCCCCAACACCCTAGACCCTGAACGCCCGAAACCCTAAAGCCCTTGAGAACCCTGAACCCTACACCAAACATCCCACACCACAAACCGAGCACGCAGTTTCTTTCAGGGTTTAGGGGTTTCGGTGTTGTTCAGAGGAGCGACCTCAATCCCCGAAACCCGCAAGCTGCAGCACCAGGTTGTTGCTGCTTCTAGGGGGAAGTTGGTCAGTTTGAACACCCGGAGCCTCCCTAAACCCTAAACCCTAAACCCTAAATCCTAAACCCTAAACCCTACACCCTTAACCCTAAACCCTACCCTAAACCCTAAACCCTAACCCTAAACCCTAAACCCTAAACCCTAAACCCTAAACCCTAAACCCTAAACCCTAAACCCTAAACCCTAAACCCTAAACCCTAAACCCTAAACCCTAAACCCTAAACCCTAAACCCTAAACCAAAGAAAAACTGCCACAGGGCCCTGAACCTTGAAGCTGCCCGTCATCCCAATTTACAACACCACGCGAAACACAACCCTGGATCCAAGACCCGAAGTCCTAAACATCCCACCTTGAGCCCTATTCCTAAAACAGTAAAGCCGCAAAGCCCTAAAGCCCTAAAGCCGTAAAGCCCTAACGTCTAGAGCCCTAACAACCCTAAAGCCGTATATGAAGCCCTGAACCTTACAAGAGCCCTAAAACCCTTAAACCTGAAGTCCTGAGCTTGGATTCTTTGGGCCAGCTCCGGCGGCAGGGCCGAGAACTCTTCTTCGGCTGAGGGGGCGGAGGCCGCACTGGGCACCTTGTAGGGGTGCGAAGTTTTTGGTGGGCTTAGGGTTTAGGGCTTTGGGTTTACGGTTGAGGGTTTAGGGTTTAGGGTTTGCGGTTTAGGGGTTTAGGGTTTAGGGGTTTTGGGGTTCAGGGTTAAAGACCCTGAGCTATGGGACCGTGAAGGACTACCTCTTCCAGGAGCTGTGTTGAAATTGCACTGCAACGACTCTGCAATGCCTCAGCTTCCTTCCGGCCTCGGCCACGACCTCTGCGCGATTCTCAACCGGTGTGGGCGCACTCGTCGAAGCTTCAGCCGGTTGCTGCGGGCGATGGGTCGCCACTGATTCCAGGTGCTGGCAAGCTTGCTCGGCAGCTGCCTGCATGGCCTCTTTCTTGCTCGAGCAATTCTTGCCAGAGAAGCTTTGCTCGGAGCCAGTTCCTTCGTCAAGCCTCACCACCACTGTGCAACGAAAGCCGTTACCTGGTCCTGTTGGCTCGGTCACGACATACCTCAAAACATTTTCATTTATAGCCTTTCTCGTCCTCTGCATCACAATCTCTCCCAACTTTGACTTGTGGTCTTTGGCCTGCCTTGCGGGCTCGGCCACGACCTCTGCGCGATTCTCAACCGGTGTGGGCGCACTCGTCGAAGCTTCAGCCGGTTGCTGCGGGCGATGGGTCGCCACTGATTCCAGGTGCTGGCAAGCTTGCTCGGCAGCTGCCTGCATGGCCTCTTTCTTGCTCGAGCAATTCTTGCCAGAGAAGCTTTGCTCGGAGCCAGTTCCTTCGTCAAGCCTCACCACCACTGTGCAACGAAAGCCGTTACCTGGTCCTGTTGGCTCGGTCACGACATACCTCAAAACATTTTCATTTATAGCCTTTCTCGTCCTCTGCATCACAATCTCTCCCAACTTTGACTTGTAGTCTTTGGCCTGCCTTGCGGGCTCGGCCACGACCTCTGCGCGATTCTCAACCGGTGTGGGAGCACTCGTCGAAGCTTCAGCCGGTTGCTGCGGGCGATGGGTCGCCACTGATTCCAGGTGCTGGCAAGCTTGCTCGGCAGCTGCCTGCATGGCCTCTTTCTTGCTCGAGCAATTCTTGCCAGAGAAGCTTTGCTCGGAGCCAGTTCTTTCGTCAAGCCTCACCACCACTTTGCAACGAAAGCCGTTTCCTGCTCCTGTTGGCTCGGTCACGACATACCTCAAAACATTTTCAGTTATAGCCTTTCTCGTCCTCTGCATCACAATCTCTCCCAACTTTGACTTGTAGTCTTTGGCCTGCCTTGCGGGCTCGGCCACGACCTCTGCGCGATTCTCAACCGGTGTGGGCGCACTCGTCGAAGCTTCAGCCGGTTGCTGCGGGCGATGGGTCGCCACTGATTCCAGGTGCTGGCAAGCTTGCTCGGCAGCTGCCTGCATGGCCTCTTTCTTGCTCGAGCAATTCTTGCCAGAGAAGCTTTGCTCGGAGCCAGTTCCTTCGTCAAGCCTCACCACCACTTCGCAACGAAAGCCGTTACCTGGTCCTGTTGGCTCGGTCACGACATACCTCAGAACATTTTCAGTTATAGCCTTCCTCGTCCTCCGCATCACAATCTCTCCCAACTTTGACTTGTAGTCTTTGGCCTGCCTTCCGGCCTCGGCGACGACCTCTGCGCGATTCTCAACCGGTGTGGGTGCACTCGTCGAAGCTTCAGACGGTTGCTGTTGGCGAGTCTCCACTGGATTGGATTCACTCTTCGACAAAGCTTCGGACGGTTGCTCTAATGTAGGTTCGTAGCAGCGCCAAACGCAAGGAGGAACGGCGTCTATGCACTGAGCAGCGGCATCCGCGCCCATCTCACACGCAGCACTCCACGTTGTGTCGAGCCCATTGAATTCAGCATGCCAACTGTGCACGCGCACAACCACTGTTGCCCAGAAGGGCATCCCGATACCGCATTCCACATGAACCGAGCTGTTTTTGGTGATCTTTGAGCACATCTCGCGCAGCCGGGCCAGCGTCCCAGCAGCGTCATCACTCGCCGCGGCCGATTTTTCTGTCCTGGCGGCCTGCTCGACCTCGCCGCGCTCCAACGCGTGAAGAAGCTCACCGAAGTCGTCCGGCAGGTCTGGTGAAGCAGAGGCACTTGCCAATGTGGATGCGCTGCCTCAGTGGGCTCGCAGTGTGCAGAGGATGCATTTGCGGTAGCATAGGTGCCCAGAAAGCATACAGGATTTAGGGCTGGGTACCTGATTGTTGACGGTACTGCCAACGAAACCTCTGGTTAGGATCACTTGGAGGTTCATGCGCCGTGGCAAGTAGGGTGACTGTTGCAATTGGGCCTCTAGGAAAAGCTACTCTCTAAGCCCTGAACCCTATGAACCCTTTATCTTCTGAAGTGGCTTTGAGCACCAAGCAGAGTTCATAGCCCCTAAGCCCTACACACGAATGCATGTCTGTATATTTGTACATATCATGAGAAGGACATCAGGTACCTAGTTCTAGATGTTAATTCGCTGCAAAGAACAAACCCCAAACCCTAAACCCTAAACCCTCAACCCTCAACCCTCAACCCTCAACCCTAAACCCTAAACCCTAAGCCAGAGTGCTGCACGGCTCCGCCAGGTGGTGCTCGTCGATGAATCCGCTTTGCTGGAGACTCTGGACAGTTACCATCGCAAAGCGCCTGAACCGAGCCTCGGAAGGGTTTAGGATATAGGGTTTAGGGTTTTAGGGTTTTAGGGGTTTAGAGTTTAGGGTTTATGGTTTAAGGTTTAGGGTTTAATTAGGGTCGAGGGTTTAGGGTTTAGGGTTTAGGGTTTAGGGTGGTCGGATTTACCCGGAGTAACCTTAACACCCTTCAAAAAGGGGAGCATGCCTCATAATTACTGGTATGTTCACCTTTGTCTTGTCTCAGGTACAGGTACTCTAGGCAGGGTTTGGGGTTTAAGGAACCCCTAAACCCTAAACCCTAAACCCTAAACCCTAAACCCTAAACCCTAAACCCTAAACCCTAAACCCTAAACCCTAAACCCTGAACCCTGAACCCTGAACCCTAAACCCTAACCCCCAAACCCTAAACCCTGAACCCGAAACCCCAGCCCTAAACCCTGAGCCCTGAGCCCTAAACCCTACACCCCAAACCCTAAACCCTGAACCCGAAACCCCAACCCCTAAACCCTGAGCCCTAAACCCTAAACCCTAAACCCTAACCCCCAAACCCTAAACCCGAAACCCTAAACCCTAAACCCTAATCCCTGAACGAGAGCCTCGTCCCCTCGCCAGTTCTCCGCGCGATCCCCCAGGCGACTCTTGAACTGCCCTTCGTCCGGAAGATTGTGCCTTCAAGCAGGGGCCCCCTGAACCTTAAGCCCTAAACCCTAAACCCTAAACCCTAAACTCTTTACCCTAAACCCTAAACCCTCAACCCTCAACCCTAAACCCTAAACCCTAAACCCTAGACCCTAGACCTTGAACCCTGAACCCTGAACCCTGAACCCCAAACCCTAAGCGGACCCGCAGCTGGGTTGTAGAAAACTTAGGGCTCGAGTCCCCTGTCTATAGTTAGTATAGTTAGGGCGGCCCTCAGCTGCCTGTTGGGCCTGCAGGGAGTGGGGGGCCCCGGTCGCCATAAGTAGCAAGCCCTGAGTTGAGTCGTAAGCATTCTAGTTTAGGGTTGTGGGTTGAGGGTTGAGGGTTTAGGGTTGAGGGTTTGCGGGTTTGAGGGTTTGAGGGTTTGCTGTAACCTGGCGCAGCTAGCATCCCAACAAAGCCCTTTCCAGCATGGACTTCTGAGAAATTCGGAACGACATTTAGACTCGACCAAACCTTACACAGCAGCTGCCTTGCCCTGTCCCAGGTAGTTCCAGGGCTAAGATGAGACTTGAAACCCTTGAGACAATAGTTCAGAGCCTTGGGGTCTAGAGAGGATCAGGCTAAGGCACGGGAAACATGCACCCTAAACCCTAAACCCTAAACCCTCAACCCGAAACCCTTAACACTAAACCCTAAACCCTTGACCGGCGAGCTGCTCCTTCCAGTACTCGTCGACCATCTTCCAGCCAGTCTTCTTCAGGAGGGCCCCATCCAAGCTCCAGATCTCCATCTGATCGAACTCCCTCTTGCCTTTGCTGCACCTACTTGGAGGTTCATGGTACTTAGTAACTAAGGGAATTAGAACTGTACTTATAACTGTACTTATAAGCCCTTTAAAGTGCCCCAATATGGTTAATAAGTACAGTTACTTTGCTGCACCTAGGGCACCCTCCAGACTGCAGACTGTATACCTTGTAAAGAAAGGCAGCTGTGCCCGGAGTTATTTGTAGCAGTTATCTGGCAAAAAAAACCTGGTTTTTGAGGGTACGAAGGCTTCTCTAGGCAGTGCTTTGTGGAAAGCATTGTGCCGCCATGACATTGGATGCTGTTGGGTCTCGTAAACTAGAGAACCCATATCGGGGTTCAAACCTTCGGAAACTTCCTAAACAACGCGCTTGAGAACAGCCTAAAAAGAAAGAACGATAATCCCTATGATGCCCCTTATAAGGAAGGATATTGCTACCTTCTACGCGGCTCTTAAGCAAGTAGAAGTGAACCCTTGAAATTTGCAGAAAACACTAGGCCGAATTAAGCCCATCGACTATGCAGAAAGACCTTGAACCTTCAAGCCCCCACCCCCCCCCCCCCCGCCCCACCCACCCCCAAGCCCTACAACCCAAAACCCTAAACCCTAAGCCCTAAACCCTCTACACAAAAAACTTAGACAATGACAATGCCAACGACAGCCCATCCACACTAGTTCATGGTTGGGATAGTATGAACAATTTCGATTTCTATTCCTTATTGAGTGTTAAGTACCATTAAGAATTCAAAATGTTACCCCCAATATGACAGAGTACAGGGAGCACAGACCAACCTAGCTGGCTTGGCCTGCAAGAATGCACGGAGAATCGATGGAGCATTGAAGACCTGCAGATTGGATCGGCCCCAAGCCCTAAACCCTAAACCCTAAACCCTAAACCCGATACCCTAAACCCTAAAGCATAAATCCTACACCCTAAGCCCTAAACCCAAAACCCCTAAACCCCTGAACGGCTTGGCCACCCCCGACCTTAAGCTACTACTCCCGAAGCCCTTGAAGCAGAGCCCCTTTCTAGGAGACCTGGCCGATGGCATCTGATTCATGAAGGGGTGCTTCAGAACAACTCCGTACACCCTAAACCCTAAAACCCTAAACCCTAAATCCTGAGCCCTAAACCCTATACCCTAAAAACCCTAAACCCAATTCTCCAAACTCAAAACTCAACCGCCGGATCCTTTCTGGGAGATGCCCTCTGTGTAGGCCTGTGTGGCGCCCTCGATCCGAGACCCTAAACCCTAAGCCCTAGACCCCAAACAAACCCCTAAACCCTCTGAGTACAGTTCCAAGAGCCCTAACCTGTTTAGGTCACAAGTCCTAACTATAGTTGTCAAAAGTAAGGGAGGCTTCCAAAGTTGTACTATTCTGGTGGCTCCGGGCTGAGGGTTCTAGGGGGATTTCGGATTTAGGGCTTCAGGGGCTTAAACGGAAGGGAATGTAGGGTTGAGGGGTTTCGGGTTTAGGGTGCCCTCAAGCCCAAACTCCAGGTTACAGCTTTGCGCAAGAGGTAGGGGGACATAAATATCGCTGGAGCCCCACCCTCAACCAGAAAGCCTTCAACATGCAAGCGGAGACACGTTGATGACAGCCTCAGTAACCGGATTCTCGAACTGCGGATCAATCCTGCGGCCACGTTGAATGTTACCAGACAACTTGGTGGGTAGTGAAAATGGGCTGAGAAGTACCCTAAATAGGTTTATGAGTATAGTCATACTTATAAAGCTGCTCATAACTGCCAATGAACCTCCAAGTATCGGAGTGAAAGAAGCCACCAGTGGCCGTGAGAGTGATCTTGGTATACGGATGTATGAATATATATATATATATATATACATACATATATATATATACATGTATGCATACAGGTTTCCGAAAACAGGGGTGCCCTTTGTGAGGGTCCCTTTAAGGGGATTCTGGTCTATTTGGGCTATAGAAGGGGTACCCCGTTTTTGGGAACTACCCATGTTGGCATGCGGATGTAGGAGGATATACACGACTTGTCAGAAACCTGTTAGAATGGACAAGCGCGGTCATGACGCGAATGATAGTCACAATGAGAATAGGCTCGGATTGGTGCAAGGTAAGACTCGCAAGATGATAAGCCCCAAGACGTCAGCACCAAGTCTCCCAGCCCAGGAGACTCAACCCTACACCCTCAACCCTAAACCTTAAACTTGGGATGTCCCCCACTTATATATGAGCTCTCCTTCCTTGGGAATATAGTACCCCCTTTTATTTTCCTTCTTGAGTACTGTATCAAAATCCTTATTAAGCACTCTAAGGGGGAACATCCCAACCGTAAACCCTGAACTGAAAACTGTGGCATCTCCACTTGCTCCTGTGCTCGGGTGCGCCCGAAGATGCCAACTCCTGAGCAGCCATCTCCTGCCAGGGATCCAAAGGCATTTAGGGTTTAGGTTTAGGGTTTAGGGCTGGGGGTTTAGGGTTTAGGGTTCAGGGTTCGGGGTTCAGGGTTTAGGGCTTAGAGTTCTTTACACTGTTTAGGGTTTTGGGTATAGGGTTTGTTTAGGGGACAGGAAACTTATTCCCAAACTTCTTTTTTTGCGGTATCCCCACCCCTCCCCCCCCCCCGCTCACCCCAGCAGAAACAAAAGACTAAGGTACAAGTAGTCGGGAATATTTCGCAAGGGTGGGGGGGCAGGTAGCTGCTTGGGGGGGATGTCGGAAAGGTGTTGGACCTGAGCTTAATCACCAAAAACATCAGTCGCCCAGTTACTCCAAACACTCTGGTGAGGGGGGGGTGGGGGTGGGTAAATTAGACCCAAGTGTAACCTAAGATTAAAAGGCGAGTACCCTTTTTGTTTTAAAGGGCTTGAACAATCTTTACCATTAGGTTTTCAAGGTTCTTAAGTTTTCTCTAGATAAGTTTGAATTATAAGCCAATTAAACAAAATCATTTCACTGTGCTTTTATGTATGTGTTAATTCATTTTGATTTATGCTAAGATATGTTAACTATATATATGTATATATGTTAGTTTTTGTTATATGTTCTATATATACATATTATGTTAAATAATACATTTTTCCTTTAACAACTTGAGGGCCGGAGGCAGGGAGGACGAAAGCTCGGGGGCCGGAAGCAAGAGCAAAGCTGCAAGAGAAAGTGCGGGCAGGGCCCAGTTGGAGGCATGCTTGAGGGGCCAGCGTCTTCTTTTCAGCCGTCGCAGTGTTGGGTAGATACCAGCTTCTTGCAATCAACTAGCTTGTTGCAATCAACACATCACTAGTGGGCGGCGACGCATGTTGTGCTGGGAGCCTCACTCACGCGCTGCGGTCAACACGCAACGGAGTCAGGTCTTGACGTAAAAAAGGCCTCCCTTTAAGGTATTGATATATCAATTTACCCCCCCCCCCCCCCCCCACCCCCCCCCCCCCCCCACCCCCCCCCCTCCAAAACCAGGAATTCGTGTGATGTATCATTTACACCCCCCCCCCCCCGTGGGTGGCTTAAATAGGGTCTATTTGGAAGCTGGGACTCGGGTTTTCTTATAGCCATACACGTTTCCACGAGGGTACGCTGCTGTCACGTCAGTCGTACTATGGAGGCCTCAGGAACAAGAACCAGGTAGTTCCTCTTTTCTCTTCTCTTTTTCTCCTCAATCCTAAAGTCGAAGGCTCTCGTGAGGAGAAGAGAAGGGAGAGAAGGAGGGAAAGATAAGAGGAACACGATTTTCATGGGAAGAGCCAAGAAAAGAATAGAAGAGAGATAAAACAAGGCGCAAAGAAGATGGTACTCTTCTTTATCTATCCTCTCTCCCTTATCTCTCCGTTCCCTCTGTCTTTTCGAAATGAGAAAAACAAAAAGAAAGATGAAAAGAAGAAGGGTTAGGAAAAGAGCCGAAGAGATAGGCCGAAAAGAGGGGTATGGTGAAGTACGGCAAAGGTCCACGCACAAGGAGTCACCTTCTGCTTACCCTTCCACTGCTTGATTTTACAAGCTCCTTTCTTGTGTTTTATCAGTTAAAATTAAAGGAAACAGAAGGAGAGAAGGGAAAGGGAAGTGAGAGAGGAGAGACAACAAGGAGGCCATTTTAATTTCCTGTGAGTTATCAAAAGGAATGCAATATTATGGGAAGAGCAATGGAAAAAAAGAGTGGAAGAGAAATTAAGACAGGAGAGGGAGGTGCAAAAATAAGGCAAAGAGAAGATGGTGCCGTTTTCATCTCACCTCTCGTTCTTATCTTCCTCTTCTCTGGTTCTTTTCCCTGTGAAATAAAAAAACAAAAGGAAGGACAATGAACATATAAAGGAACCCGTTTTCGTTTTCCGTTTGGGCACAAGGAAAAAAACAGAGGCGATAGGGCGAGAGGAGGGGTTTGCTGAAGCATGGGGAGGGTGTACGGGCAAGGGGCCAACTCCGCCCACTTCCCCCATCCATTGAAAGAGGAAAAGGAACAGGGCCTCCATTCCCCTCTTATTCTTCCTTTCTTGCGTTTTTGTCGTTTAGAAGGGAACAGGAGAAGAGGAGGGAGAGAGAAGGAGAGAGGAGACATAAAAAGGATTGCATTTTTAATGGGAAGAGCAAAGAAAAGACCAGAAGAGAGATGATGGGAGAAGAGGGGGAGACAAAACAAGGCGCACAGAAAATGGGCAGATAAGAAGAGAGGAAAGGGAATGACCAAGTACAATGAGGAGTTCTTCAATTTCCCTCCCTATCTCTTATGTTACTTTTCCTTCTTGTGGGGTGTCCCTTTTTCTCTTGAAGATGCAGAAAACGATTGAAAAGGACACCCGTTCCATCGCCCATATGTAGGGAAAGAGAGAGAATCATGAGCATCAGCTGGGCTTGCTGCCAATCCAACATGGGCGTCCCTTTTAATCGCATTCTGTGTCCTTTTTTCTCGCTTGAAGATGCAGAAAACGATCCAAAAGCACATCTGTTGGAGGAAGAGAGAAGGAGAGAGGAGAGATACCAAGGATTGCATATTTAATGGGAAGAGCAAGGAAGAGAATAGAAGACAGATGAATAGAGAAGATGGCGCTCTTCTTTATCTATTCTCTCTCCCTTGTTTCTCCCTTCCCTCTTTCTTTTCGAAATGAGAAAAACAAAAAGGAAGAACTATGAGAAGGAGAAGAGTAAGGAAAGGAACAGAAGAGATAGGCCGAGAGGATGAATATGATGGAGTATTATGGAAAGGCTCACGCGCAAGGAGTCACCCTCTGCTTACCTTTTCACTGCTTTATCATATGAGTTCCTTTCTTGTGTTTTATCAGTTAAAAGGAAGCGGAAGAAGAGAAGGGAAAGGGAAGTGAGAGAGGAAAAGGATGCTATGTTTCCCGAAGCGTGCTGCAAGGAATAGAAGAGACAGGAAGCAAGGAGACGGAATCACAAAATAAGGCGCAAAGCTGTACATATCATCTCTCCCTTGTCTCTCCCTATTCCCTTTCGAACTAGAAAAAACCATTCTTGCTTTTCACAGATAGGTTCCCTCTCTCCTCTTCAGGAAATCCCCTTTCCCTTATGTTGCTTTTTGAAGCGAATAAGAAAAATAGCAGATAAGAAGAGAGGAAAGGGTCAATTTCCCTCCCTATCTCTTATGTTGTTTTTCCTTCTTGTGGGGTGTCCCTGTTTCTCTTGAAGATGCAGAAAACGATTGAAAAGGACACCCGTTCCATCGCCCATGTGTAGGGAAAGAGAGAGAATCATGAGCATCAGCTGGGCTTGCTGCCAATCCAACATGGGCGTCCCTTTTAATCGCAGTCTGTGTCCTTTTTTCTCGCTTGAAGATGCAGAAAACGATCCAAAAGCACATCTGTTGGAGGAAGAGAGAAGGAGAGAGGAGAGATACCAAGGATTGCATATTTAATGGGAAGAGCAAGGAAGAGAATAGAAGACAGATGAATAGAGAAGAGGGAGAGACAAAACAAGGCGCAGAGAAGATGGCACTCTTCTTTATCTATTCTCTCTCCCTTGTTTCTCCCTTCCCTCTTTCTTTTCGAAATGAGAAAAACAAAAAGGAAGAACTATGAGAAGGAGAAGAGTAAGGAAAGGAACAGAAGAGATAGGCCGAGAGGATGAATATGATGGAGTATTATGGAAAGGCTCACGCGCAAGGAGTCACCCTCTGCTTACCTTTCCACTGCTTTATCATATGAGTTCCTTTCTTGTGTTTTATCAGTTAAAAGGAAGCAGAAGAGAAGGGAAAAGCAAAAAATGAGCCCAACATTTTAGGACCAGGGCTTGCGATCTGACTCTTTGGAGCAAAAATCGATTCCAAAATCTTAGGGGCCAGGGCTTGCGATGTTACTCTTTGGAGCAAGAAATGAGCCCAAAATCTTAAAGACCGGGGCTTGCGATTTCACCTTTTGGAGCAAATACTGGGCCCAAAATCTTAGGGACCAGGGCTTGCAATTTGACTCCGTGGAGCACAAATCGACCCCGAAATCTTAGGGACCAGGGCTTGCGATTTGACTCTGTGGAGCACAAATCGACCCCGACAACTTAGGGACCAGGGCTTGCGATTTGACTCTTTGGAGCAAAAATCGACCCAAAAATCTAAGGGACCAGGGCTTGCGATTTTACTCTTTGGCGCAAAAACTGGGCCCCAAATCTTAGGGACCAGGGCTTGCGATGTCACTCTTTGGAGCAGAATTGAACCC